GTGTGTCTGTGTGTGTGTGTGTCTGTGTGTGTGTGTGTGTGTCTGTGTGTGTGTTTATGATCAGATCATTTCGCTGGATTTTGGAACTGTATGATATAGCTCCCATTTTGTATGTGTGTGTGTCTGTGTGTGTCTGTGTGTGTCTGTGTGTGTGTTTATGATCAGATCATTTCGCTGGATTTTGGAACTGTATGATATAGCTCCCATTTTGTACATGCGTGTGCATGTGTGTGTGTGTGTGTGTGTGTGTGTGTGTGTGATTCAGGGATTTTATACGCTGTGAGACAAGAATAATAAAAGATGACATTTTTTGACATTGTGGCAGTCATGTTTTCATAAGTGATCTGCAGGAAGTTGTACGTTGTAAAACACTTTAAAACGTATGAAGAAACATCATGCTACTTCCATATTGCCATTTTTGGACAATATACCATGACTTTGTTTACATGGTAGTGTTGAGACATGGTATGAGGCGTGTGTGTGTATACAATGGTACTATCTTAGTACAATAATTGGAGCTCGTCTGTGTAGTACATCAAACGTTTTTATTTCATAACAGCAACATAACTGTTGTTTCCCATGATATGTTTCTTTTAAATCTAAATTTCACTAGGATCATGTTTTATTTTGTCAACTTCAAACCAAAATTGATATTCATTTTCTATTTATTGCTTGTCTTCCTATGAACTATTTATAAGTAAATATTATTCCAGAACCAAAAAAAAAAAAAAGTTTGTATTTTGTAATCTTTCTTTCATCAAAAATGTAATGTTCTCTCCATCTCAAAAACAAAGGGGCTTTCAGGCTGTGAATGATGAAATAACCTTATATACACTAGCCTACACGGCGGAGTGCATAGTGTGCTGTAGTGTATAGTGCGTCGTTTGGGATGCAGCTAATGTAATGATTTCTATCTGGGAAGAATTGCATCCAACACAACAGTTTGCATGACAGAACTGCATGATGCTGCAGGTGCATATACTTCATGCATGTTTTTTTTCTTTCATGAGTTGTTCACACACGCTAACCCCTTCAGCTCAAACTGCTCCATCCGTCCACCTCCTCTCTGTTATTTTAGCTTGTGAGAATGCTGTCACTCCATGCCTGCAGCTTTTCCTCTCTTCATTGTCATGTTTGTGAACCGATAGATGGTGTTGTTTTGTGTTCAGTGCTGGAGTGCGGCCCTGGGCTTCCTGTTGAGATCTTCTTCATCACTCCATGGCTGGTATTTGTATTTTTTATTTTTCATGCCCTTTATTTAGCATTATGTTTTAATTTTTATGACTTGTTAAGATGCTCAGGCTGACATTAACATTTCTGCTGTATGTTATTGTGGATAATGGCCTGCTCGCCTGAGATTAACTTTTCATTTAACACTTCATGAACTCGCTTAACATATTCCTTTTACATTTAAAATAACATCCATCGCTTCATCTAAAAATGCAAATATGATGGGTTTTCAAAAGGAATGTCCAAGTCATATTTTACTCGAAAAAGACAAGAAAAAAAAGAAATGATATTTTGCATTAAGAAAATGTCAATAATGCAAAAATCTTAATGATGACTTTCATGATAATTAAGCTAATTTCTTCTTATGTTCTGGTTATTGTAATATGATTTTTTTGTTTTGTTAGTGCAGTATAAGAAGATCCCATTCTTATTATTGTAAGGAAATAATAGTACATAAATGTTGAAAAATACTGTTGTTTCTGTAATCTGTAATGCGAAAAGAAATTAAAATAATTATTTTCAAACATTCATTAACTTATTTATTTATAAATATATAAGCCTATATATATATATATACTGTCAAAAATGTCCAGGACGTATTTCACTGTGGGAAAAAAAAAATGTATTAGATTCATCTTGACATTTCTATTCAAGCTTCTTTTGAACATTTCAATTTTATTATGATGTATGCTAAACTAGCATTAAATCAACCTACACCCCTAGTAAAGGCAGCATATACCTCCAGTATGTCATCGACAAAGGCTTACTTTAAGTTTCCTCCCTCAATGTTTAACTTGTTATTTACACATCACATACAGAAATAGAGTATGCAGCATAGTGTCCAACAAAGGACACATTCTACTCCTCCATTGCTGTAGGATGAGGCCAACCCTGCCGTCTGATTGCTCAGTTTCAGGTAGGAAGTGCGTAGAGGGACGTCACTGAGGAGTGATGCCTGTTGAAAGTGGAAACAGCGCAGCCGCCCGTCAAGTCAAACAGAAGCGCAAGTCGCACAGTCTCTCCATTAGGAGGACCAACAGCACCGAGCAGGACAGGCCAGGCATGCAGAGAGACATGCTGGAGGGACAGGTACGTTGTTTTTTTCTCTTCGTTGCTGAAACTCGCATGAGCACGTATAGATCCCGGTTTTTGAAGTTCGTGGTTTTCATTTGATGAACTCTATTGTGTGAGCGTGCTGTCCTGCCCAGGTGAACAGTCAAGAATGACACAAAGCCAGTTCTGTGACATTGTTTGTAAAACAATTTTTTTTTTGGTAACCACCAAATCATGACAGCTGGGATATGGAAGTATCCGTGCAAACACGTGTCATGTTGTTTTTGAACCAATTTGCTGTTGTTTTAGAATTTAGTTGAATTTTAAAAAGAGAAATGTTTCAGGACATAATGTATTTTAGACATGTATTATATTTCCAGGAAGCCAGAGTTGATTGATTAACTAAGTGTTATTATGGAAAAATCAAAAAAGTAAATGAAAACATTTGTTTCTTAACCTTTTTTTTTTGGTAACCACCAAATCATGACAGCTGGGATATGGAAGTATCCGTGCAAACACGTGTCATGTTGTTTTTGAACCAATTTGCTGTTGTTTTAGAATTTAGTTGAATTTTAAAAAGAGAAATGTTTCAGGACATAATGTATTTTAGACATGTATTATATTTCCAGGAAGCCAGAGTTGATTGATTAACTAAGTGTTATTATGGAAAAATCAAAAAAGTAAATGAAAACATTTTTTTCTTAACCTCTTAACTGTCACCCCCCATTTTTTTTTAAATAGGCATGCAGGTGCACTATCCAAACTTAAATTGTTGTAATTTATGAACACTTTGGAATACAGACATAAGGTTGGTCTCGTTTTAAAGAAGAAAATCAGCAGATTATCGCAAAAAAAGTTAAAGTATCAAAAAGTTATGGTAGTTTAAATTTACTGTAATGCACTATATTAATTTTATTTTATTTTATATATAATAAATATTTTACGTAACAGGTTTTACTCTAAAATTGGTATAAAAGTAAAGCCTTATGTCTAAATAAGTTATGTTCCAAATTTGAAGTTAATATGAAAAAAATGGAGGTTCCTGTGAGATTTTATTTAGTGCGCTATACCATAAACAGCCACCGGGTGCCTGCCATCCAAACTACATTGAATTTTTTTTATGCATTTTTCTGTCACAAATGTCTAGATTTCTCTGTCAATATTACTTCTATCTCAAAATACCAAATATGGAATCCTGAGACTCAGACCTTTCCAATGATATGTTTTTTGTCAAGATTATAAAAAGGTTTGATTCTAAAAGACCGTAATGCATTTTGTAATATGACACTTAACACCGCCCACTAAGGGGGAGGAGACTGGCAAAATATTTTAAAGTACCATTTCCATGGTAATGCAATGTCCTATTTCAAAATGGTTTTCACAGGATGAATCTTGGGCTTCTAAGCTTTCAAATGATATATGATTTATGATGATTACTAAAAGATTTGATATAGAAAAAGGACAACCACAAAAAAGAGCGCCAAGTGTCCCATCAGGAATTCCAAAAGTAAAATAAAATGCAATCGTTTTCTCCAAAACGAAGTAATGAAATAATATTAAAATGGCCATAAATTCATTTTAATTCTAGGTTTTCATTCTGGGTGTCTTATAAAGTTGGAAATGCCTACAACCCACTTACATTAAAAATGCAAAAAAGCTACTAGATTACATGTATATAAATATATATGTATAAATTGAAAAGACAAATTGTAAATAAAATAGAAATATTATTTTTATTATTATTATCTTAACTGTTTCAGGAGACAGTGTATCAGACATGTTCAGTGTTGCAGGAAGCCAATGTTGATTGATTAAGTGTTATTATTAAAGTATCAAAAAGTTATGGTAGTTTAAATTTACTGTAATGCACTATATTAATTTTATTTTATTTTATATATAATAAATATTTTACGTAACAGGTTTTACTCTAAAATTGGTATAAAAGTAAAGCCTTATGTCTAAATAAGTTATGTTCCAAATTTGAAGTTAATATTAAAAAAATGGAGGTTCCTGTGAGATTTTATTTAGTGCGCTATACCATAAACAGCCACCGGGTGCCTGCCATCCAAACTCCATTGAATTTTTTTTATGCATTTTTCTGTCACAAATGTCTAGATTTCTCTGTCAATATTACTTCTATCACACAATATGGAATCCTGAGGCTCAGACCTTTCCAATGATATGTTTTTTGTCAAGATTATAAAAAGGTTTGATTCTAAAAGACCGTAATGCATTTTGTAATATGACACTTAACACCGCCCACTAAGGGGGAGGAGACTGGCAAAATATTTTAAAGTACCATTTCCATGGTAATGCAATGTCCTATTTCAAAATGGTTTTCACAGGATGAATCTTGGGCTTCTAAGCTTTCAAATGATATATGATTTATGATGATTACTAAAAGATTTGATATAGAAAAAGGACAACCACAAAAAAGAGCGCCAAGTGTCCCATCAGGAATTCCAAAAGTAAAATAAAATGCAATTGTTTTCTCCAAAACGAAGTAATGAAATAATATTAAAATGGCCATAAATTCATTTTAATTCTAGGTTTTCATTCTGGGTGTCTTATAAAGTTGGAAATGCCTACAACCCACTTACATTAAAAATGCAAAAAAGCTACTAGATTACATGTATATAAATATATATGTATAAATTGAAAAGACAAATTGTAAATAAAATAGAAATATTATTTTTATTATTATTATCTTAACTGTTTCAGGAGACAGTGTATCAGACATGTTCAGTGTTGCAGGAAGCCAATGTTGATTGATTAAGTGTTATTATGGAAATGACAAAGTATTTAGGACATAAGGAACAGCAAAAGTAAAATAAAAGTAATGAAATAAAATTCAAATGACCACAAATTAATCAAAATTTTACTTTTTCATTCTAGGTGTATTATAACATTGGAAACAAAAAATGCTGCTAGATAACACTGGAAAAACTCATTTCTGGCCCTGAAAATAAAAACAAATTAATAAATTAATATACAAATTTATTAACTTTGACATCCCTAGAATACTGAAATCCAAAAGTAAAACTAACAAATAACAAAAAAATAAACTGAATTGAAAGACAAATTGTACATAAAATAGAAATAATAACACTGGATCAGTGTCTGTATTGAGAGTGATTCTGGTTTGGAAGAAACGGGTTTGAATACTGGTGTCATAAAAATGAAATGTCACATTCAAAGTCCATGTTATACCTGGTGAACAAATGACATGAGTTAAGTATTTCTGTCAATGAGTAGTTTTGTCATTGTTTGGTACTGTATCATATCCCAGGAATTTACATCCTCTAACACACAACGTTTGTCCTAAATGAGTCTGTTATCGACGCACATTCCTTACACAAACAAAATGTTAAAGTTAAAGTCTTAAAGGGGTCATATGATGTTGCTAAAACGAGCATTATTTTGTGTATTTGGTGTAATGCAATGTTTTTACGTGGTTTAGGGTTCAAAAACTACATTATTTTCTACATACTGTACATTATTGTTGCTCCTCTATGCCCCGCCTTTCTGAAATGCGTCAATTTTTACAAAGCTCATCGGTCTGAAAAGCGAGGTGTGCTCTGATTGGCCAGCTATCCAGTGCGTTGTGATTGGCCGAATACCTCAAGCGTGTGACGGAAATGTTACGCCCCTCACCATAGTTGGAAACACACAGCGTCTCCACGACATGGTGGCGGCAGCAATAATACTACAGTTAGAATAAAAGTTATGCCTTCTTTCTTTGCATTATACATTTGGGCGGTGTTATGCAAATCTTCCCACAAAGTAGATTTGTTGTGTTTAAAAATTCATTTTAATTCTAGGTTTTCATTCTGGGTGTCTTATAAAGTTGGAAATGCCTACAACCCACTTACATTAAAAATGCAAAAAAGCTACTAGATTACATGTATATAAATATATATGTATAAATTGAAAAGACAAATTGTAAATAAAATAGAAATATTATTTTTATTATTATTATCTTAACTGTTTCAGGAGACAGTGTATCAGACATGTTCAGTGTTGCAGGAAGCCAATGTTGATTGATTAAGTGTTATTATGGAAATGACAAAGTATTTATTTTTTCTTAAAAAAAACAAACATAAGGAACAGCAAAAGTAAAATAAAAGTAATGAAATAAAATTCAAGTGACCACAAATTAATCAAAATTTTACTTTTTCATTCTAGGTGTATTATAACATTGGAAACAAAAAATGCTGCTAGATAACACTGGAAAAACTCATTTCTGGCCCTGAAAATAAAAACAAATTAATAAATTAATATACAAATTTATTAACTTTGACATCCCTAGAATACTGAAATCCAAAAGTAAAACTAACAAATAACAAAAAAATAAACTGAATTGAAAGACAAATTGTACATAAAATAGAAATAATAACACTGGATCAGTGTCTGTATTGAGAGTGATTCTGGTTTGGAAGAAACGGGTTTGAATACTGGTGTCATAAAAATTAAATGTCACATTCAAAGTCCATGTTATACCTGGTGAACAAATGACATGAGTTAAGTATTTCTGTCAATGAGTAGTTTTGTCATTGTTTGGTACTGTATCATATCCCAGGAATTTACATCCTCTAACACACAACGTTTGTCCTAAATGAGTCTGTTATGAGTTCTGCACATTCCTTACACAAACAAAATGTTAAAGTTAAATTCTTAAAGGGGTCATATGGTGTTGCTAAAACGAGCATTATTTTGTGTATTTGGTGTAATGCAATGTTTTTACGTGGTTTAGGGTTCAAAAACTACATTATTTTCTACATACTGTACATTATTGTTGCTCCTCTATGCCCCGCCTTTCTGAAATGCGTCAATTTTTACAAAGCTCATCGGTCTGAAAAGCGAGGTGTGCTCTGATTGGCCAGCTATCCAGTGCGTTGTGATTGGCCGAATACCTCAAGCGTGTGACGGAAATGTTACGCCCCTCACCATAGTTGGAAACACACAGCGTCTCCACGACATGGTGGCGGCAGCAATAATACTACAGTTAGAATAAAAGTTATGCCTTCTTTCTTTGCATTATACATTTGGGCGGTGTTATGCAAATCTTCCCACAAAGTAGATTTGTTGTGTTTAAATGAGGCGTTTTAGGAAGGCGTGGATGAGTTTTAACTTTTATAAAGAATATCTCTTTGGGTTTGAGACGTTCATCTTTGTGACTTTACAAATTTTATAAATATACAAACTGCTTGTAACACTCCAAAGACAAAGGAAAACATGAAATCGCGTCTTAGGACCGACCCCTTTAAGAGTAGTCTAACTCATGTCAGACTTGAGACATGATGCCATTTGGTCATCTGATTTATTGATACTCCTTGGAGGGTATCTATGGTTTGTACTCTTCTATGGTCCATAGCCTCATCCATTTTTAAAGAGCGGCCCACGCTGGGGTTCGATTGTTCCGTCTATTCCTCTGTAGGGTCATTTCTGATTGGCAGTCCCTACTGTAAACCGTTCTCTGGATTTAGACTATACCGCCTTTCACCCTCTCAATGCTGTCATTATGTCCAGTTGCTATGGTGACCACAAGTTTTAGGATTGAGCAGGTTTATAAGAATAGACGACAAGCTGTTGTTTGTTAATTGCGATTATAAAAACGCTCTCTCTCTCTCTCTCTCTCTCTCACTCTCTGACACATAAGTGCATGTGGTACTGATAGAATGGAGAGTAGTTGACTTCACTTTTACACTGTTCTCATTGGTTTACTGTTGTCTGGAGTAGTTAATATGGACATAGCTAGTCTAAACAACACAACAGCAATGTTTGTTTGTGGATTGCTTTTCTTTGTGTAGTTTTAATCAGGCTGAAAGACTTTACTTGGAACTTCTTATCTTTGATAATGGAGGTAAGTTGATTTGGTAGATTAGTTATGTTTTTGAATAGAGATCTCTTTACTTTTTTACTTTTCAGATTTTGTTGTGATTATTTTCTGTCAGTTCTTTTCTATCCTTAGTAATATTTGGTTGCTCTCTGTCTCAAAAATAAATTATGCATTTAGGACAGAAATGATCTGTACTGAGGCTTAAAAGCCTGTAGAACAGCAAGATATTTTACGCAAAGTTTAGGTTAACATTAACATAACCATTAAGTTATTTAAAAAAAAAAAAGATTTTATAGCAGCATGATATTTAATATAAATGTTTAAATGTAAGGTTTCAGAGCAGCAAGAAATTTTATGTTTTAAGAACAGCATGATATTTCATGCAAACTTTTAGAATTGTAGTATATTTTATCTTAAGATGTAAAGCTTTAAAACAGCAAGATATTTTACGTAAACTTTTAGATGTAAAGTTTCAGAACAGCAAGATATTTTAAGTAAAGCTTTAGAACAGCAAGATATTTTACAAAAAACATTTAGATGTTAAGTTTTAATATCTTAAGCCCTACTTTACATCTAAATGTTTACGTACAATATCTATCTGTTCTAAAGCTTTACATAAAATATCTTACTGTTCTGAAACTTAACATCTAAATGTTTACGTAAAATACCTTGCTGTATTAAAGCTTTACTTAAAATATATTGCTGTTCTGAAACTTTACATCTAAATGTTTATGTAAAATATCTGTTATTTGTTTATTTTTTTATGTAAAAAAATATCTGTTCTAAAGCTTTACATAAATATCTTGCTAGGCAAGATATCTTACGTAAATATTTAGATGTAAAGTTTCAGAACAGCAAGATATTTATGTAAAGCTTTAGAACAGATATTTTTTTACGTAAAAAAATTAACAAATAACAGATATTTTACGTAAACATTTAGATGTAAAGTTTCAGAACAGCAATCTATTTTATGTAAAGTTTCAGAACAGCTGAATATTTTACATAACATTTTAAATGTAATGTTTTACAACAGCAAGAAAATGTATATAGTTTATTAGTAGATTTCTGGTGTTTGTTATATTTTCTCTTAAAAAGAAACTATTAGCAAGATCCCTTCAACATTTCTTGTGTTTTAGTAGTTTATTTTTATGTGTTAACATTATTTTTAAATAGTTAGAATGTACAAAGTAGAACAGTGCAAAATCCGCATTTCTCATTTGTTGTAATTTAAGTTTGAAGGCGTTTTGATAATGCATTCTCTGAGTATGTGTAACATGGATTATTTGATTCAATATCTAGGACTCCAAGTTGCCGATGGCCTTAAGGAGTAACTTACTGGACCTGTTTGGACAGATTGAACGGGAGTTTGAAAATCTCTACATTGAAAACTTAGAATGTGAGTAGTACCAATTAGCTTCCAACATTTTTAACATGCTGTTTTCACGTCTGGACTCTGTTTACATGCCTTACTATATTTAATTGAATGATGACAACACAGTCCTTGCACATGAAGAAGAACTGGGTTTAATTGAGCAGTCATATAGCATTCTCAAGTAGCATTCTCACAGCATTCTCAAGATCTGAATCCTTAATTGTTTTCGGTATTACAATTGATTTGTATTAAATAATGAATGTATAATTTAAATGGTAAATTGCCATGTAACAAGCAGATTAATGTACAGTCAGTATCGAGGTATAAGCTCCTTCAGGGTGACGTGGGTCCTCATCAAACTGTTGGGTTTATTTGAATGTACGTTATCCCTTACATAGTTTGTAAATGTGACACAATTAGTGATTTGCTCAGTTTATCAGCGACCGCCATATTATACGCTCTGTTCTTGTGCAGTGCGGAGAGAGATTGAATCTCTAAACGAACGTTTGGCTGGAGAAGGACAGACTGTTGATGGCGGCGATCTGAGCAAAGGAGCCCTGAAAACAAAAGGTACATGCAAAACAAAACTGACATTTAGCTTTTGTTTCATTTCTGCATTCATTATATCAGATCATTGAGCAAGCTTTTGAATAAATAATGACATTTTTTTTTTTTTTTGATGATTCAGGGAGAATAATTTGTTAACGTTGTGCCTAAAGCTATGTCCTCACATGACATGATGATGTTTTAAGTGCAGTTTGCTATTGATTTATCAGTAGATCTGCATGGCCAGATGTTTGTGGACACCTTCTTCTTTAATTAAGGGGTTTGACTGTTTCAGCTACACCCATTTCTAACAGGAACATAAAATCATATCGCCATATATTCTCCTTAGACAAACATTTACAGTAGAATGGGGCCCTTTTTTGTTTGAGCTTGACAGTGCTCTTGTAAAAAAAAGTGAGGTCTATAAAAATGGTTTTTCTAATCTGGTTTGGAAGAACTGAAGAAACATTGAAACCTGGTGTGGATGAAATTGAAAACTTAAAACCTAACAGTGTTATGTATAATTTGTCGTATTTTTCACTCATAATCTTGTCATTTCTTGTGCACAGCAAGTCACAGCACAAGTCAACTTTCCCAAAAGCTGAAGACGACATACAAGGCCTCCACTAGCAAGGTATGATTGTATCTATGGGGTTATTTGCTGACATTTCACTCTGTGTAGAACTCTGTTACTGTTGTTTAAGCTCAGAATATTTCTCTCAGAATCACTACTCTCTATAAAAAAAATTTACCGTATTGACCCGAATATAAGACAATGTTTTTTTCTTGGAAATACATCTGAAAAAACACGGTCGTCTTATATTCAGGGTCTAGACTTTGACATGTCAATAATACACCCACAACAATAGGTGGCGCCAAATACGTAAATGCGTGTTGTAAAGATCGCGACCAAACTCCCTTTGTGATTTTAAAACGTAAGACAGTACCCAGATTTGAAGACTACAGTAAGATTTAACTTCTACTGTTAATAAGATTTTGGTAGGCTGCTATTAGATGGATAGCCTACATGTCCTAATTCAGATGGGCTACCGGTTTTTTTTTTTTTATGGTATATCAAAAAGTGTATATTTTTTAAATGTGATTGTTGGTACATTTGACCAGTTTTTACCATACTTTCAAAACAAAAATGAAAATAGGAAAAATATGCAATATGAAAATAATTGAAGACAAAATATGTTTTACTGAGAAAAAACAAGATTTGGTTTTTAAAAAGCCTTTTTCCAAAAGGTACATCTGGAAAAAGGGGGGTCGTCATATAATCAGGGTTGTCTTATATTCGGACCAATACGGTAATATCTCAGTGCAAAGTCCTGTTCTTTGTAGTCGGCTTACAGACTTTGCTGCTTTACATATATAGATACTGAATGAACAAGCTAGGGTTGTCACAATACCAAAATGTTACCAATATCAGTGAAATCTGACGATTAAAACCAAAGAAGTTCCATTATTGGGACTCCTTTAAGTTTTCATAATTATTAAAGGGATAGTTCACCCAGAAATGATCATTCTTTCATCGTTTACTGATCCTCATTACTCTTTTTTTGGGTACTTAGACTTTCAAAGGAGGGACAGAAATCTCTCAAGTTTCATAAATATCTTCCTTTGTGTTTCGAAATTAACCAAAGTCAAATTGGGTTTGGAATTAAATGAGCAGTAAATGATGACCGCATCTTTATTTTTTGGTTAAACTATCTCTGTAAGAAATTGAATTAAAATAACGGCATGTACCATAATGGCATGCAACTGGCATGGCAATTTTGTGGAATTGACACTATTCCATAATTGGTAAAATAGTATCTTTTTAGTGTTGTTATTGACTTGTGACATCTCTAGAGCAAGCTGTTTTATGTGGATATGTAACCATAAGTTGTTTTGTCTCAGTGTTGCATTTTCGTAGTGCCGAGTTGTCTGCTCTGTTTGTTCAGTTTCTTTCAATTATACAAACGTCCTCCAGTTTCACATACACATTTCATGGAATTACATACCGATGATATGATCAGTAGGGGTGTAAAATGTGTCAGTGTTATGCCATGCATTGATCTGACATTGACAGTTCAATGCATCAGTTATGGAATTTCACAGTCTATTATATTATGATATGTAATACCCAGTTTTTTAAATTTTTTTTATCAGGGGTTCAACCGTCATTTTACAAAGCTACGCAAATACTTTTTGTATGCAAAGAAAATAAAAAATAACGACTTTATTCAACAATTCATCTCCTCCGCGTCTCCCTAGCTCAATTTTGGAGAGTATCCACTGAACGTAAACAGCGTATGCTATTCTGTGTCAGCTGCGTCACGCGGATACGTTGTTTTCGTTCAAATCAAAGTGTAAACAACGTAGAAAACATATCAGCATGGCGCAGCAGATGACATGGAACAGCATACGTTGTTTACGTATGTGATACTCTCCAAAATGGCACCAGGGTGACACGGAGACAAATTGAATAAAGTCGTTACGTTTGTGTACAAAAAGTAATCTCGTAGCTTCGTAAAATTGCGGTTGAACCCCTGATGTCACATGGATTATTTTACCGATCTCCTTGCTACGTTTCTGGACGTTGATCGTGTTAATTACTAGTGCTGTGTTCGATACGATGATGTATCGTCACAGAGATCTGACGATACAAGTATCGATACAGCTGTCCCTGTATCTATATTGCGGCATGTGTGCATCAGTGGACCGCGCTTAATTTGAATACAAGAACGGAGTAGAAAAGTGCAAAGTTTCTTAAAAACATAATGAATAGAGCATAATATATAGGCTACAACAAGGTTTAATCTGGCCACAGAGGAACCGGGGTTGCCTGATTTAAAGAGACGTAATCCCCGAAACAGAGCTTAAAGTAAAGTGTGTTACTTATCTTTGTCAACCTGGCAACCATGTGTACATGCTCTCTCTCCACTGTTTAAATGCGCTTGCTTTCTGAAAACACCGGTTAGCTTGCAGTTTAGCAATCCCCACTTCAATATTCTATTATCAGAAAAGTGTAATTTATCAACTGTTCATTTATGAGAGAGAGAGAGGCTGTGTATTTATGAATTACCACTGTTTTGCCGCGTTTCTCTGTTAACAGTGAAGCTGTGGCTTTAATTGCTTTAGAAACGATGATGTTACCAGCTCCTTGTTGAGAAACCTAATATAGCTTTTCAGCGATTAAGCAATTTTATTGATAAAATTGCGGGGCAGCGCTAAAAAGTTTGTCTTAATGTGAAAAATAATGTTTGTGTGCGCGCACAGTGTGATCTGTGTGTGTGACTAAACGTGTGTGCGTGAGGTACAGTGAAGACAGCGCATTAGTTTAGAACTCCTCTAATTTTTATTTGTATTCTTTAAACGTAGAGAGTGTGTTGATCTGCGCAATGATAACCTACCAGCAATGTTAAGAGGATTTTAATATATTAGAATTTGTACATTACAATATACATTTATTAGAACGAGTACATTATTATTTATGGGCTTAAAAACAAGATGCAAGCAATCAGAATATTGTACCTGGTGGGGAGGGCATAATGTAAACATGAAACATATGCCATTACCTATAGGCTATTGTACTGTGGAACAGTTATGGAGGCCCTTCATAATGCAGAGGTCAACTGCCTGCTCTGCCAATAGTTAGCAACAGCCCTATGGTATGCAGTGTTTAATAAATAGCTGTTTTACTAAATTCTTCTGAGGTGAAATTCACTGCAGTCCCGTTTTTAAATGAAAACCTTCCATGAATCAGTTGTATGATTGAGCTGAGATCTATGGACAAGGATAAGAACAAGAAAATAAGTTGTACAAAAAACAGGTTTCCTATTTTGATATACTTTTAAAGTATACTTTATTTCTGTGATGCAGCGCTGAGTTTTCAGCATCATTATTCCAGTCTTCAGTGTCACAAGATCCTTCAGAAATAATTCTAATATGCTGATTTATTATCAGTTGAAACTGTTGTGCTGCTTAATATTTTTTGGAACCTGTGATACGTTTTTCTTTGATTCTTTGATGAATAAAAATAAACAACAGCATTTATTCAAAATAAAACATCTTTACTATCACTTTTTATCCATTTAACACATCCTTGCTGAATAAAAGTATTAATTTCTTTAAAAAAAAGAAAGAAATAATGTACTGACCCCAAACTTTTGAATAGTAGTGTATATTGTAACACACAATTTCTATTTTGAATAAACACTGTTCCTTGTTTTATTTATCAAAGAATCCTGAAAAAATGATCACACAGGTCCCCCCCAAAAAATTAAAGGGATAGTTCACCAAAAAATGAAAATTCTGTCATTAAGTACTCAACCCTCATGTCATTCTAAACCCGTAAGACCTTCGTTCATCTTCGGAACACAAATTAAGATATTTTTGATCAATTCTGAGAGCTCTCTGACCCTCCCATAGACAGCAATGAAATTAGCACGATCAAGGTCCAGAGACGTAGCAAGGTGATCGGTAAAATAATCTGTGACATCAGGGGTTCAACCGTCATTTTACAAAGCTACGCAAATACTTTTTGTATGCAAAGAAAATAAAAAATAACGACTTTATTCAACAATTCATCTCCTCCGCGTCTCCCTAGCTCAATTTTGGAGAGTATCCACTGAACGTAAACAGCGTATGCTATTCTGTGTCAGCTGCGTCACGCGGATACGTTGTTTTCGTTCAAATCAAAGTGTAAACAACGTAGAAAACATATCAGCATGGCGCAGCAGATGACATGGAACAGCATACGTTGTTTACGTATGTGATACTCTCCAAAATGGCACCAGGGTGACACGGAGACGAATTGAATAAAGTCGTTACGTTTGTGTACAAAAAGTAATCTCGTAGCTTCGTAAAATTACGGTTGAACCCCTGATGTCACATGGATTATTTTACCGATCTCCTTGCTACGTTTCTGGACGTTGATCGTGTTAATTACTAGTGCTGTGTTCGATACGATGATGTATCGTCACAGAGATCTGACGATACAAGTATCGATACAGCTGTCCCTGTATCTATATTGCGGCATGTGTGCATCAGTGGACCGCGCTTAATTTGAATACAAGAACGGAGTAGAAAAGTGCAAAGTTTCTTAAAAACATAATGAATAGAGCATAATATATAGGCTACAACAAGGTTTAATCTGGCCACAGAGGAACCGGGGTTGCCTGATTTAAAGAGACGTAATCCCCGAAACAGAGCTTAAAGTAAAGTGTGTTACTTCTCTTTGTCAACCTGGCAACCATGTGTACATGCTCTCTCTCCACTGTTTAAATGCGCTTGCTTTCTGAAAACACCGGTTAGCTTGCAGTTTAGCAATCCCCACTTCAATATTCTATTATCAGAAAAGTGTAATTTATCAACTGTTCATTTATGAGAGAGAGAGAGGCTGTGTATTTATGAATTACCACTGTTTTGCCGCGTTTCTCTGTTAACAGTGAAGCTGTGGCTTTAATTGCTTTAGAAACGATGATGTTACCAGCTCCTTGTTGAGAAACCTAATATAGCTTTTCAGCGATTAAGCAATTTTATTGATAAAATTGCGGGGCAGCGCTAAAAAGTTTGTCTTAATGTGAAAAATAATGTTTGTGTGCGCGCACAGTGTGATCTGTGTGTGTGACTAAACGTGTGTGCGTGAGGTACAGTGAAGACAGCGCATTAGTTTAGAACTCCTCTAATTTTTATTTGTATTCTTTAAACGTAGAGAGTGTGTTGATCTGCGCAATGATAACCTACCAGCAATGTTAAGAGGATTTTAATATATTAGAATTTGTACATTACAATATACATTTATTAGAACGAGTACATTATTATTTATGGGCTTAAAAACAAGATGCAAGCAATCAGAATATTGTACCTGGTGGGGAGGGCATAATGTAAACATGAAACATATGCCATTACCTATAGGCTATTGTACTGTGGAACAGTTATGGAGGCCCTTCATAATGCAGAGGTCAACTGCCTGCTCTGCCAATAGTTAGCAACAGCCCTATGGTATGCAGTGTTTAATAAATAGCTGTTTTACTAAATTCTTCTGAGGTGAAATTCACTGCAGTCCCGTATCGTGATGCGTATCGCATCGTGACTTTGCTGGTGATACACAGCCCTATTAATTACATTGCTGTCTATGGGAGGGTCAGAGAGCTCTCAGAATTCATCAAAAATATCTTAATTTGTGTTCCGAAGATGAACGGAGGTCTTGCGTGTTTAGAACGACATGAGGGTGAGTAATTAATGACACAATTTTCATTTTGGGTGAATTATCCCTTTAAGCAGCACAACACTGATTATAAATCAGCATATTAGATTGATTTCTGAATGATCATATGACACTGAAGACTAGAGTAATGATGCTGAAAATTCAGCTTTGCTTCGTAGGAATAAATTATATTTTAAAGTATTTTAACATGGAAAACAGATATTTTAAATTGCAATAATATTTAACAAAATTGCAGTTTGTTTTCTGTATTGTTTTATCAAATAGATACAGCCTTGAAGAGCATAAGAAACATAAAAAATCTTACTGATCCCAAACTTTTGATCGGCAGTGTAGTTCTAAGTGAAAGCCCTCCTGTGGATTTGGTTCCATGTAACTTTGAAGGATATTGTACGTGACAGTTCAAGGAATTTCATGATTGTCTTTGGATTTTTGATTGAGCTCTACAGTATGTGAGGAACGCTTTCAGTTGCTTTATAATATTGTTTTCTAATATTACAGAGCATTTTCACAGTGCTGAGATGAGGGCTCATTGTGCTTGCTGTGTTTGCTTTACCTCTCAGCAGTGCTTAGTAGTGGTTAGGCTGCATATTGATATGCTTGCACACTTCCCTCAGTCCATTGCTTTGTAGAAGTCATTTGCTTCCTGTGATGCCAAAACTTTTATTAAAGTTAGGACAATGTACCTCAATACTTCTTTATTCTGAGTATTTGCTTTTACAGATGATGCTGGGGATGCACAGATATAGAAACATTGGCCGATATGCCAATTTTCCTGATATTATCTTATAATTGCCACTATTATAAATCTGTACTGTTTAACTTGGATCATATTACTTTTTAAAAAAGAAAGGAAAAATGGGATTTAACATAAGTTTTAGCCATATATTTTAGTTTTAGATACTGTTAAAAGTTTTAGAAAATGACTTGCTTCACATTATAAAAACAAAACTAAAATACAACATGAAATGGTCACTAATATATTGTGCATCCCTAAATATTTTTTGTCAACTTCTGTTGGTGTCATCTCTGTAGTTAGCTAGTAAAGATTACTTTACAGTATTTTTTCACTTACCAGATCATATGTACAGTATTTTACAATTTACAGTTGTGCAACTGTAAATTGTAAAAATGAATTATTTAATGTTTTCAGAGGGAGCAGTTGAATGTTAAGTCAAGTGTTGAACCTATTCAAATATCTAAATGTCAAATGATCTGCAAAATTTTAATTAATGATATACTAATATACACTACTCTTTAAAAGATATTTTTAATGAAATTTTTTTGAAATGCTGTAAATGTTTTTATGGTAATTGTTTTTGGATAAATTTAATGCATCCTTCTTAAATATAAGTATTAATTTATTTCAAATACTTGCTGTTCTTTCTATTCATGTTCTATTCAAGAATCCTGGAAAAAGTATCATACTTTCCACAACAATATTAAGCAGCACAACTTTTCAAAATTGATAATCAGAAATGTTTCTTGAGGCACAAATGAGAGTATTTTGAATGATTTCTGTTGAATCATGACAATGAATTACATATGCATATTAATAGGGCTGCCCCCTAATAGTCGACTAATCGTTAGTCGACCAGAAGAAGATTGGTCGACCAAAATTTTTAGATGCTTAGTCGCAAAAAAAAAAAAATCCACATTGGCAAAGTCACGCAGATCGTTAATAACTGGTCTATGGTAATACAGTGCATCCGGCAGGACATCCAAACACTCGCCTGTCATTCATCCACCACATATAGGGCTTATCATCTGAAATATGTAAGTATTAGCAACTTTACATGGCCGCTCAATCTAATGTTAACCTAGAGAAATGTCCACTATTCAAGTGTCTGTGTGGAAGCTGAACAGCAGCGCACTCACTGCAGAACAGATGAAGGCGCCGGTGCGCTCACTTGCTCTTAAAATACTCCCTCATTTTTGGTCATACAGATCAAATCTGCAAAGACTCTATGTATATTTTTGTGCATTCACAATAACAACAAAACAAGCTTTTGTAAAATAATGAAAGCAAACAGGATGCGCTTTCTGCCGTCTCGGTCTCTGTGAACTCGAGCGCGAAACTCCGTGTATATCTTTGCCTTACAGACATTAAAAAAATATATACAGAGAGTGAAATGTCTACTTTCAAATGAACCAATTCAAATGGAAAACAAATATTCTCCGATTATGTAATCCGTGTGAAACGCATACAGATGCATCCACTACTGTGGAGATGGCGAGTCCGTGTCAGTGTCTCCGACTTCATCTCTTAACCCGAAAACACAGAAAGCACTAGTTTATCAGTGAATTATTAAAATGTCAATGCAGCCTACTTACTGTTTTTCCCTGACACATTCATAAACAATAGCTTCTGCGGTGCGCTGTGGCAAGCTTTATGAGTGCGCTTGAGCGCTTATTAGGCTTTGTAGGCAATTAAAGGCTCATTATAATGATTTAAATGTTTTATTAATAAACGTGCGATTAGTCGACTAATGCTTAAAATGAACGACTACTAGTCGACCAGAAAAATACTTAGTCGAGGGCAGCCCTACATATTAAAATAGAAAACAGTTATTGTAAATTGTTATAATGGTTCAGATTACTACTGTTTGACCTGTATTTTTAATCAAATAAATGCACCCTTGGTGAACTTCTTTTAAAAAACATATTAAAGACCCTAAACTTTTAATAACTTTTAAAAAATGTCTAACCTATTAAACTTTTAACATACATCCATATCAGTGGTAGTTTGCCAGGAAAGGTTGTTACAGTTATATTACCAAAGATCCCTTCTGTAATGCACATTTTATGTTATATAAGATATTTCAGTGACTTTTAAATAAATATTGTGCACTTTTGTGAATGTGTCATTTACTGCCATTAAATTATATAGTAATGCATATCTTCTCTATGCATCGACACCATAGCAGCCATTGGTCACCTTGCTCTCTTAGCTCAGCTTCTTTCCTTTTCCAGAGATGATCCATATATTTACATGCAAAGTTTTTACGATTTACCAGCTATTTTGTCATTCATTTGTTTTTCAGTCATACATTTGTCAGCTTTTATATATTTTAATGGTGCTTGAATGCTGTTCTTGTTTTATTGCTCATTATTGTTTGTTAGGGTGTTTTAATTTAATCGTTCTCATTTCAGAAGTATTGACTACGCTCTCCTTTCGTAGACCTTGATCTTGTTTGGGAGACTGTATGACTGAATGTGTTCTGTTCATACAATCCAGCAGTGTAACCACATGACGTGTGTCATAAGTGTAGAGGTGTTACAGTCATGTATGGTTTGAGTATTGATTCCCCATGCTTCTGCGCTGCTTACTGTCGCTCTGTAGTTAGATCTGTGTGTGTGTGTGAACCTCTGACGCATTGCTCACTCTCCTGTCCGCTCCTCAGATTGTGTCCAGTTTCAAAGCCACCACGTCTCGTGCAGTGTGTCAGCTGGTCAAGGAGTACGTGGGACACCGGGATGGGATATGGGACCTGGCTGTGACTCGGGTTCAGCCGCTGGTTTTAGGCACAGCTTCAGCCGGTAAATCTGCCACAACTACACTCACCTTACCCATTATTTTTAATTCAGTTTGAGTTTTTTTTTTTTTGGTCCTGTCCAGAGATTAACCCTTGTCTGTTTTATTGGCATTTTTGTTTCTTTTTACTTTAAAAAAAAACAAAAAACGTTGTTAATATGCTTTCAGTCTTTTGGCAAGGCTTCAGAATTTTTGCTATTTTTACAAGTTACAATTTTTACTGTTTTCCATCTGATAACACCATTTTCTCAGGTTTGGCCTTTGGAGCAAATACTTGCTGTTTTTTTGTATGTTTCTGATAAAAAAAGGCCAATTGAATGTGATTATTTTAATTGTGTGGGTGTATTGATATCAATATCAGAGTGTGGTTTGTATGTGTGCATTGAGATATTTGTGTGTGTGTGGTATTTTTCCTGACTCTGTGCACTGCACAAAAATATGTTGCTAATAATTGATATATCCAAGATGCACTACCAGCCAAAAGTTTTTGAACAGTAAGATTTTTAATGTTTTATAAAGAAGTCTCTTCTGCTCACGAAGCCTGCATTTATTTGATCCAAAATACAGCAAAACAGTAATATTGTGAAATATTTTTAGCATTTAAAATAACTGCTTTTAAAGAAATTATAGAAAGTAATACTTTTATTTAGCAAGAATGCTTTAAATTGATCAAAAGTGATGATAAAGACATTAATGAAGTTATAAAAGATTCTATTTCAGATAAATGCTGTTCTTATGAACTTGCTATTCATCAAAGAAACCTGAAAAAAATCTACTCGGCTGTTTTCAACATAATAATAATATGTTTTTTTTGGGCAGCAAATCAGAATATTAGAATGATTTCTGAAGGATCATGTGACTGCAGTAATGATGCTAAAAATCCAGCTTCGAAATCAAAGGAATAAATTACATTTTATAATATATTCAAATTGAAACCAGTTATTTTAAATAGTAAAAACTATATCAAATTTGTACTTTTTTTTTGCTGTGCTTTGGATCAAATAAATGCAGGCTTGGTGAGCAGAAGATACTTATTTTAAAAACATTAACAATCTTACTGTTCAAAAACTATATATATATATATTACTTTTATTGTTACTTTAATTACCAAAAACTTTTTTTTTTGTAGCTGTCCCCACCTTTTTCTTTTTATTTCTTTACATTTTACAAATTGCTGTGATTGTCCTAAATAGTAAACTAACACTTACAGTAGATTAAAACTAGCTGGATTAATTTAGACAAATGCTTATTTAATTGTTATTCTATTCATCAAAGAAACCTGAAAAAAATCTACTCGGCTGTTTTCAACATAATAATAATATGTTTTTTTTGGGCAGCAAATCAGAATATTAGAATGATTTCTGAAGGATCATGTGACTGCAGTAATGATGCTAAAAATCCAGCTTCGAAATCAAAGGAATAAATTACATTTTATAATATATTCAAATTGAAACCAGTTATTTTAAATAGTAAAAACTATATCAAATTTGTACTTTTTTTTTGCTGTGCTTTGGATCAAATAAATGCAGGCTTGGTGAGCAGAAGATACTTATTTTAAAAACATTAACAATCTTACTGTTCAAAAACTATATATATATATATTACTTTTATTGTTACTTTAATTACCAAAAACTTTTTTTTTTGTAGCTGTCCCCACCTTTTTCTTAATTTTTTATTCTTAGTGCATCACTAATTTTGAGAATATTGTGCATCAATTAATCATACACCTCAGGGACATTTATTATGAAAGCAAATAGAGTAATTTTCATGAAATAACAAATAATAACTAAGCATTATGGCGCCGTCCAGTGGTCATAACCTTCTATTACACATTAAAGACTGCATGTATGTGAGCGTCTGCTAATGCAGCAGTCACATCTCTTTACTATGAAGCTGTTAATTACATTTTATAATATATTCAAATTGAAACCAGTTATTTTAAATAGTAAAAACTATATCAAATTTGTACTTTTTTTTTGCTGTGCTTTGGATCAAATAAATGCAGGCTTGGTGAGCAGAAGATACTTATTTTAAAAACATTAACAATCTTACTGTTCAAAAACTATATATATATATATTACTTTTATTGTTACTTTAATTACCAAAAACTTTTTTTTTTGTAGCTGTCCCCACCTTTTTCTTTTTATTTCTTTACATTTTACAAATTGCTGTGATTGTCCTAAATAGTAAACTAACACTTACAGTAGATTAAAACTAGCTGGATTAATTTAGACAAATGCTTATTTAATTGTTATTGCTGATAAAAATCACAAATTTTAAATTGTATTTAGATATGACTTAAATTTGAACAGTGCTGCTCATGTTGCAAAATGACACACTAATATACTGTTGTATACATTGCTGTTCAAAAGTCTGTCTTTATTTTCACTTTTTATGATCTGTTATGTTCTTTCTGCTCTCCAAGGCTGAATTTATTTGTAAAAACAGTAATATTGTGAAATAATATTGTTTTCTATTTGAATAATTAAAAAATGTCATTTATTCCTGTGATGGTAAAGCAGACTTTTCAGAAGTCATTCTGTCATTCTTTATTCTTTAGATCACTGTTGCATGCTGTGGAGTATTGAGACTGGGAAGTGCCTGCTAAAATATGCCGGCCACGCTGGATCAGGTACCAAGCTCTTTTCACATTATATGTGTGTGTGAATATTTGTGAACTTTCGTTTGGAGTTTGGTTTCTTCAGATTTGACATGCTCTGGTTAGTGTTAAGCATGTTGCATTGTTTTTAATGCACATTTGTTATTTTGTATTCTTGCAGTCAACTCCATTAAGTTCCACCCCACAGAGCAGATGGCACTTACAGGTAAACAACAGCGCATTCAATGGGTTTTACATATTTCCATGTGAAACATAACAGTATATATTCAATATAGATAAACAGGGGGAAAAAAAGTATTACAGCCGCCGTGTGAATGTTTCTTTTAACCTCTAATTTGAGTAGAAACAATTAAATAATTTAAAATATTGCAAAAAAGTAAAAAAAATGGTCATATGTACAATTTAAAAGTTTTTATGCAACTCTGTTTTTATTTGTGTTGATTATTAAATAAATTGGATTAATTAATTGATTATTGAACACAATTAATTTTTTATTCTTAGTGCATCACTAATTTTGAGAATATTGTGCATCAATTAATCATACACCTCAGGGACATTTATTATGAAAGCAAATAGAGTAATTTTCATGAAATAACAAATAATAACTAAGCATTATGGCGCCGTCCAGTGGTCATAACCTTCTATTACACATTAAAGACTGCATGTATGTGAGCGTCTGCTAATGCAGCAGTCACATCTCTTTACTATGAAGCTGTTAATGATGATTCGTTTATCCCGTGACTGAAGGCTATGTTACCTTTTTAATATTTATTTAATAAGACTGAAAAATAGATATTTTTTCATATCTCTATTTGTATCTCTCCCCCCCTCCTGTCAGATGCTTTTAAATGTGATTTGATAGATGACTGTCCTTTTTTATATAATGCTCCATCTGTGTTTGTTTTGTCTGTTTCCTGACAGCGTCCGGGGACCAGACGGCACACATCTGGCGTTACATGGTACAGCTGCCGCTTCCCCAGCCCCCAGCAGACATCAGTGTAAGTGTTAAAACACACACACACACACACACACACACAGACAGACAGACAGACACCTACCTTCACACACCCTTTTTTGTAATGATGCTCCTCCGAATCGATGTCTCTCATCCAGGTGACTTGCTAATGCAAAAAGTCAACATGAATATTGAAATCAGTATAATGTATTTGCAATTTTTGTGCTAAATTTAAAAGTGTATGTTAAGAAAAAAAGTTTGTTTTAATATTGAAATATAATAACTTGCTCTACTTCTGAAAACATCTATAACTATCCTACATTTTTTCCCCCCTACGCTGAATATTCTGCTTTACTGAGAAGTGTGCCACATTAAAGCTGCACTTTTTTGTGTTCAAAGTTTACAAAATTAATATAATAAGCGAGTACATCATAAATCCATTTTCCAAACCGTGCTTTTGGCTTGTCCTGAATCACTACAGTACACCTATAATAAGTGTTTATATTCGGACTATTTCAGACTGGTTGGGGTAGGTCCCGCTGCGGAGTAGCCAGTACCTGCGTGATTCGTCATAGACATAAACAGAGAGAAGTAGCTCCGGCTACAATGTTCTCAGAAGATGCACGCAGTTCTGTTTATTAACCGCTAGAGCGCCAAAAGTTACGGACTGCAGCTTGAATTAATTTATTCAACAATTGCTGTAATTATCGTCTTTTTTCCCCATTGCGTTCCCATTTTTGTGTACTTAAAGCTACAAGATGTAACTCTTTTTGAAAAAAAAAAATAATAATAATAATGAGTGCAAAACATACTTAATACTTTAACCAAAAATATTCTGTTACACCTTTAATCTGTTTGGATTTTTAAGTTCAAGTTTTAGGATATTTGTGCCTTTTGCATTTTCCTTTTAATTTTAGGTTTTAGTAATTTTGTTTAGCATTTATTTTAGTAGTTATTGTTTTTTTATCTTGCCAATTATGCTAGTCCCTTGCTAGTTATGCTTGCAACATGCTAGTCACTTGCTAATCATGCTAGCAACATGCTAGTCACTTGCTAATCATGCTAGTAACATGGTAATCATGCTAGTTACTTGCTAATCATGCTAGCGACATGCTAGTCATGCTAGCAACATGTTAGTCACTTGCTAATCGTGCTAGCAACATGGTAGTTACTTACTAATCATGCAAGCAACATGCTAGTAACATGCTAATCATGCTACAAACAGGCTAGTCACTTGCTAATCATTCTAGCAACATGCTAGTAACTTGCTAATCATGCTGTTTATATTGTAGTATAGTCTTATAGTAGTAAAATTATTTTTTCAGTTTTAGTTATTTTAGTTAAACTACATTCGAATGAGAAATATTGTTTTGACAGCTAGCTGAAATGAAATATTTGATTTTATTTCAATTAATGTTCATTTTAGTAACAAACCTGTTTTATATGTAGCGCAAAGCTGAACATTTAATTTTGCAACAAATTAACAAAAAAAAAAAGACCATGAATCGTACAAAATGGCAAACCTCCTGGGGCAATCACTGGTTGTAAAACAAAATAAATATTATTTATTGGCGCCGATAACCTTGTGGGCTGCGCATCTACATATAGCACAGTTACACTTCGGGCGTCCCGTGTTCGAGTCCCGGCTCTCGGACCTTTCCCGATCCATCCCCTCTCTCCAACTTCACTTCCTGCCTAACTACTGTCCTATCAAATAAAGGCAAAACGGCAAAAATAAATCTAAAAAAAAAAAAATGTCTACATAAAATGTTGAAACAAAAATACAACAAATGAAAACAAAAATGCAACAAAAACTAGTGCTGTCAAACGATTAATCGCGATAAATCGCATCCAAAATAAAAGTTTTTGTTTACATAGTATATGTGTGTACTGTGTATATTTATTATGTATATATAAATACAAACACATGCGTGTATATATTTAAGAAAATATGTTACGTTTATATATTAAATATATTTCGATTTAATATAAATTATATGAATATATACATTTAAATATTTTCAAAATATATACAGTATGTGTGTGTATTTGTATATACATAATAAATATACACAGTGTACACACAGATATATTATGTAAATAAAAACTTTTATTTTGAATGCGATTAATCGCGATTAATCGTTTGACAGCACAGTGCCAAATGGAAGTAAAAATTGGTGCCAAATAAGGATAAAAATGAAATCTAAGTGATGCAAAAGCTCTTCAAAGTCAAGATCAGTGACTGTCGGCCATCTGCTCGCAACCTGACATTTTGCTAGCAAGCCAAAAGACTTTATTGTCATAACTCCAGAACTCGGTGTGGCAAGACATTTTTGACGAGAATATATGGGACAAATTCTGGATCTCAACAGTTTTGTGCCTGGCTGTAGCCTCTCACTTTAACAAATCTATATTAAATATGAATTATCTAGCCAATAGATAATAAAATAGAGAGCCAATAGAGACAATAAAATGTATTCTTAATCAAAAAATGCAAAATATGAAAATACTTTTTCATGACTCGGAAGAAGTAATTATAGCTGATAAATATCAGTGGCATTGTTACCTAAAACTAATAAAAAAATATTTTTGTTATTGAAATAAGGTTCAATATTAGATGAAAAACTGATAATAATAATAATAATAATAATAATAATAACAATAACAGAAATGAAAATGTTAGAAATGTTGCCTTGACAGCTAACTGAAATTGAAATATTAAATGAAAGCTAAATAGAACAAATCTAAAACAAAAACTAATAAAATGACAGCATCTCTTACTAAACTATTACGAATGGTTGGAATAAATCTGAAATAAAATTAAATATTAGATAACAAACTTAAATTAAAAACATAAGTAAATAAAATTAGAAATGTTGCCTTGGCAACTAACCAAAATAAAAAAAGGTTGTTAAAATAATAAAGTTACTAAAACTAAACTGAAAAAATAAATATATTAAAGCTTAAAAAAAACAAAAAAAAACATTAATAAATAGAAATTGCAGAAGCACATAAAATGATTAAAACTTAAATTAAAACGAATATGAAAACTGAATAATTCAGAATATTAATAAATATTATACTAGTATTTAAATAATATCTAAAATAACACATTCAAAATATTCAAAAGTATACATTTTAGAAATTGATTTAGTTGATGAAGAAAGTGGGCATTGTTTGAACTATTTTACGTCTCTTTTGTTTTTTTTATTCACTTTGACCACTAGATGGCAGTGCATTGACAGCAAGTACAGAACTGCAGCCAGATTCCTTGACACGTTTGTGTGTGGTGGCTCTTGATGCCTTGACCCCAGCCTCAGTCCATTCCTTGTGAAGTTCACTCAAATTCTTGAATCGATTTTGCTTGACAATCCTCATAAGGCTGCGGTTCTCTCGGTTGGTTGTGCATCTTTTTCTTTCAACCTTTATCCAACATGCTTGGATACAGCACTCTGTGAACAGCCAGCTTCTTTGGCAATGAATGTTTGTGGCTTACCCTCCTTGTGAAGGGTGTCAATGATTGTCTTCTGGACAACTGTCAGATCATCAGTCTTCCCCATGATTGTGTAGCCTAGTGAACCAAACTGAGAGACCATTTTGAAGGCTCAGGAAACCTTTGCAGGTGTTTTGAGTTGATTAGCTGATTGGCATGTCACCATATTCTAATTTGTTGAGACAGTGAATTGGTGGGTTTTTGTTAAATGTGAGCCAAAATCATCACAATTAAAATAACTCTATATTTTTACTGTTTTGGACTTGAAATTTGTGTTACCTGACAATTAAACCAAAAATCATAAAGCAAACTCACTTCTCTGTAGACTTGTATATGTGAAGAGCTTGTATATGTGAGTGGAGTATCATATTGATTTCAGTGCTGTCTGGTTATGAGTTGATGAGACGCAGCTAATTGTGTTGAGCCGCTGAATTCACTCGTCACTGAGCCCTGAGAAACACTCAACACAGACACCTGTGTAGCAGATTTTCTCAAGTTTTTTCTTTCTCTTTGGAGTGGCAAAGAAATGTCTGAAAAAGTAAATTGAGCTTTAGAAGCATCTTTATTATTCCAGCATTTAGTACTTCATGCATGAAATTATACTGTACCTCAAATCTTCGTGTGCAGCTACTTTTCATAGTGATCAACTTTTGCTTGGTGGATGATAAAGCGCAAAAATCTAGGGCCTTGTGATTTACACAAAGCTGAAAATGCAGATGGAATTGCGGAAAATAAAAATTATAAAAAAGGAATTTACTGTATAATGCGAAATGTCACGGAATTTGGCTAAATTTGGGTGCTATTTAGACTGCTATTTAAATATAAAGTCTGCATGTTCTGCGTGTTTCTGTATAAATGAGCAACGCAGTTTTGTATTCGTTTAGTTTAATTTAGAGAAATAATTACAGAAATATATTAAATTGTAATGTAGTTCTCGAAGTAATAATAATAAAATTCCAGTTTATTAAAAAAAAGCATGTAAGGATATATTTTTATTTAAACCGTAAACCTCTATTGTGCAGCACTTTGTCAGCAAATGGCAGAAATTGTTTGATTTGCATGTTAAAAGACCAATGTTTTTGATAATAAAACTATAAATTCATACACAAAATCCAGGCAAAACTAAATTTGTGAAAAAATAAAACCCATCGTAGGACCCTATTAATCTTTAAAAAATTATAAATTGGTGTAGGATTTACTTTGAAACTTTACTTTTTTTCCCCTTGCATTTCTATTGTTTATTCATGTTTAAACTCCAAATGCAGTTGTAATAAAGCATGGCACATTTTCATCAGTGTCAGACACCGAGTTCCAACAATTATTTACTAAATGATTTTGTGTAGTTATACAGAATGTAGTTAATAACAGTGTAGTTCACTTAAAATTAAAATTGTCATCACTCACCCTCATGTCATTCCAAACCCACGATGCATTCAATAATATAAATTAGTAAATTGTTAATGTTTATGAATTCAATTGATTAGACATCCATCTCGATTATTAAAATTAACCATTAAACCATTAAAACGGAATCCAGAAAAAAAAAAGAA